GAAAAATAATTTTTTTTTCTTTTACCCTTATTATTAACTATTTATTTTTCAGATTATTTTTCAAGACTTTTTGAAATACTATCATTATTATAGATAAAATTATAAAATATACACTTTATTTATTTATTCTTAAGAAGAATATATAATTAAAAGAAAATAACTAAAAATAAATGGTGGAAGTAGTACTCATAAGTTTTAGGGCAGAGTCATAGTTGATTAGTTTCAGTAATATGTTCCCTCCAACATATAACTGACCCCATTAATTATGGATTCTAAGGAAAAATTAAAGATTCATGCAAAACGTAATCGATATGTATGAATGAAGCCGAAATATTAAAGGGAAGAGGTGGACAGCCTGTCGCGTCTGTCTGGTAGCAGAATTATTATTATTTTGGATTCCCACTTTGTAATGTATATGTATATTTGGAGTTGACCTTTTTTCCCCTTCAATTCTCTATTTTTTCACCTTTCTATTGATGTCACTCTAGTATAAACATGCACTTTACTTTCTTTTTTTTAACCTCTCCCAAATTAGGAGAATTTATAATATTTGCACATTTCCCTTCCTTCAGCGTCACTCGAACTCAATATCTAACGGTCGGGTAGTCCCAAATTGAAGGAATGTAATGGGAAAAAAATATAACGCCTTTCAAATTATATATTAAATGAATGAATAAAAGGAAGTTACAAAGGTAAGGAAAAGAAATATAAGAAAAATAACTTTTTTCATAAGAAAATTGGAACGAAAACCAATAGAGGAAATAATTATTAGCGCAAAATACAAAGTTGATCAATCGGATAAAATTAATTGCATTTATTAGCCAAAAAATATATAAAATATGTATATAATAAACATATACTAAAAATATATATTTTATCGGCTATTATTATTTACAGCGGCCAAAATTTACATTTCTCAAATTAATTATTATTTGCCAGAGTTTACTATAGAAACTAAGAAATTAGTTACACCATTGCATCTCATTTAATGTGATTAATTTGGCTGGTGCTTTGACTTATATCTAATCTTTAGTTAAAATAAAATAAGTATTTTGTATACGGTTGAGATAATAATACTTCGATCGAAAGGTATCTGCGTAAGGTCAGGTCGAGGTCTGAAGTAAGGGCGTCATGATTCGAGCTCCAAGACTAATGCAACGCTAGCTGAGATAACGAAGGGTTAGCTTCCACAGTTGGGTCGAATCCATACTCTAACAGAACGATGCTCACCTGTTTATCTAGTTCGGCCCCTTCTTCACGAGCCTTGGCCAAATCTACTTAGAGGTCCTTTATAACCTCGTCCTTTTGGCCGCAAAGAACCTTCAGAGCATCTCTCTCCCCCAAGACCTTTTGAAGCTCGACCTCACACTGGCTGAGATCGGCTCGAAACTTGTTAAGGGCCTACACAAAAGGGAAAAAAATGCAAGTCATGTTTAGAAAAGAACAAAGAAACCAAGAGCAGTAAAATCATTACCCGAGAAATAAAACGTTGGGCCTCTTCTAGAAGAATAGAAGTGTTACTAATATCAGAGGCATCATCGACTTCAGTAAAGTAATCCCGAAAAGGATCCCAACACTAGAGCCTCCGCCCATATCGGGGTCTTCAATTCTCGAGCTTCCCTTAATGCCTCCTCAAAAAAGGTCGGAAGAGAAGGCAAATGACCCACTATCATGGTCCCGAGCGAATTGCTCGGGACGCTCTGATCGAGCCTCGGGGTATCAGAACCGGCCCCGACCGGTGTAGCCGCCATCGGCTCATAAGGTCTGGCGACCTCGATGGCTTCCGCAGATCGAACCACCAGTGCCAGAGCATCTTCTTCTTCTTCATCATCTCTCAGTCATGGACCGAGTCCATCGTAAGAGCGATTACCTTCTTCCTCACCCTTCGAGTTTTGGGCTTGGGGTCCTCTGACTGAGAGAAAGTTTTTCGCTTTTTATCTTTCCTTGGTTTCGGAACCGGGGACTTGGTTCATTCCTCACCAATCGAAGGCCTCAAAACGGCATCCTTGGTCACGCCTGCATGAAAGGAAGTCAGTAACGAATGAAGCATAAAAAATATTTCAAAAAACATGAAAAGGGACCCTTACCGTGATTCTTGGCCTCCCATATGCCTTTTTCCAAATCACGCCAAGCGCGTTCGGCATAAGAGGAAGTCGAGGCTAACTTCCGAACCCAATCCTCGAGGTCAGGTACCGCTTGTGGCATCCAAGGGACAATTGTATATCGGAGGGGGATATCAAACAGAATCAGAGAAAGATACGAAAAACAAAGTCTTATAAAAATCACTTACGGTTGAAATTCCATTCCTCGCGGAACGGCATCTTCTCTTTCGGGATAAGGTCACGAGTCATCACCCGAATAAAGCGGCCCATCCAACCCCGATCCTTGTCTTCATCGATGCTCGACATTAAAGCTTTCGTTGCCCGGCGGTGGAGCCTGATTAGTCCTCGAAAGATTTGAGGCCGATACAATCGTATGAGGTGATTTAGAGTAAACTCCAGCCCCCGGCCTTGTTGGAGAAGAAGCGAAGTATGATTACTATGCGCCATAGAGAAGGATGAATTTGGCCGAGGGTGACCTGATATCTTTTGCAAAAATCAATGATCACTGGGTCGACGGGACCCAACGTAAAGGGGTAAGTATAAACACTTAAAAAAAACCTCCACGTGAGTGATGATGCTCTCTTCGGGAGAGGGAATTTGTAGCACAACCTCGGGACCCCAGTTGCAGTCTTTCCTCACGGCCTCGAGACGAACCTTTGTTATCGAGCACATGTACATCGACACATGCTTACATCGGCCCAAAACCGACGAAGGATTTTCAACCTTAAACTCGGTCTTTAGAATACACGGTCCAGGAACATACTCGTGGGGAGGCAGCTCCGCCGGTGCCTTATCGCCGGACGGCCGGGAAGAGGAAGCTTTCTCCTTCTGCGATACGATTTTTGAGGTTTTTGCCATTGGTATAAGTAAAAGAAAAGCAAAGGAAGATAAAAGGATGATGGTATCAAACGCTGATGAAGGTGGCTCTACAAGCGGCGAAATAGAGGCGAAAAAAATAAGAAAATTTGGGGGTTTGATTAGAGTAACAGATTAAGTTTGATTTTGGGAACGGGCTATTTATGGGCTAAACAGAGGCAGTTCAATCTCACATAATGGCCGACATCGACTGACGCACATTAAATGCCTCGGTAAGCTGAACCGATGGGACAGCTACCACGTGCGTCATGGTCGGACTCGATGCTGACGTCAGTATATATCTAATCATACCGTTGGAAATCATGTCGTTTCTCGTCATATCCTTCCCGAGAAATGAGGGGACTATCTGTATACGGTCGAAACCTATTAGTCAGTCATATGGACTGGTCGAGATAATAATACTTCGATCGAAAGGTATCTGCATAAGGTCAGGTCGAGGTCCGAAGTAAGGGCGTCATGATTCGAGCTCCAAGACCGATCAAGGATCAGCTCGGTATCATTATCGGGCCCATAACCAAATCAAACCACGAGGCAACGCGAAGGTTGTCGGAGATGCACAGACCGACCGACACCCACCCCGAATATCAAGACTCCGAGTCAGGGTTGAGCTCGAGTCAAGGCCGATGGCTCGATCCAATATCGGGTTCGAGTCAGTATCGAGCTCACAGACAAGGGTCGTTGCAACCGCACTAAGGGAGAGAATCCTGGCAGGAATTAGGGAAAAGACAATTCATCATGACCTCTCCACTATATATTTTTTATTGTATATAAAGTAGGATCCTTCTACTATAAAGAGGGGGATTATTGTAAACATAAGAGAGATTCACACATTGTAACAAAAGACTACTTCTCCTATTGAAAGTTAAACCCCTTGATTTACTCTATCATATTCATTCTTCTTGCTCACTAATTTATCTCCCGTTTTTATAGTCAAGAATCTACACATTTTTATTTCTATGTACGATTTATGTCAAGCTATATCACATATCCTTAGAACTACTTATAAATTTAACTCTATCCGATTTTTCGGGTACACATATTTCAATGCCGTCTGCCAGATCAAATTGTCTTGCTTTAGTTTAAGTAGAGGAAGACCAATCAAAGTAGTATCTATGTTTTATAAATCTTGACTACGCCAATTGCTGTGGTTACATCATCAAAATGCAATTAAAACAGGCAGACACTTTCCCAGTTAATTTATCATTAATCTTGATCATCATTAAGCAAGTCATTACGAAACTAAACTTAACGTACCTAAATTCAGGCCGGGTTGATGATTGTGATGAAAAAGAAAATGGAACACATGAAAACAGATGGATAGAGTTGCAAGTGACAATACATAATGAATCAAGTCCTACGTACATAAATTAATGGAGTTATCGGTATATACTTTCAATAAGAAAATACTCTCTTTTTAGTTATATCAATATATAATCAATATTGTACATAGGTGAGCTGATTGATCATGGCTCTTTATTGGACCACTACTCATTTCAGCCTCATTGTTACATTAATCATGGCATTTCTCCTCCTAGTAGAGTACTTTTCATTATTTTTCATTATTCCCCATCCACTTGACATATTGTTAAATAAATAAAGGAAAATCATTAGGGTATCCTAATTTTTACTCCTAGAATTTACATATCTCCAACAAAAGCAAAAGCAATAATTTTAAACAATTACAGTATTTTTTTCTTTTTTTAGTTTAATTATTCTGTATTCGAAATTAATGTCCACTTACTTCATAAGTATTTAAAGGATGACAAACCACTTCTATCAGAAGTTTTTAATCTAAATATCCAACGCAAAACCTTTAAGTAAATTAAAGTGAAGGATTCTCGCTCATCACGTCACATTTCTTGAATGTACAATTATAGTTACTATATGCCCTCTAATCCTTTAAAGAAAAATACACCCTCTGATCCCAAGAAAATCAACATACCAAATATGTCCACGTGCCACCAAGCCATACGATTGTAATGTCGTAGAAAAATTGAATAATTGGTATATATGCACATAAATCCATATACATGCTCTCCTTATTTGCTAGAACTACATTATATACCTTTGTGTGAGCGTATCTATCTCTCTCTTCAATGTAGCTAGCAATCATTTTGCATATAAGAAAGAAAAAGAAGTTGCCATTATAATCAAGAAAGAAGAGGTTGTGTAATTATTTGATGGAAGTTAGCCGGAAAATGGACTTGAATCTCAAGGAAACTGAGCTATGTTTGGGACTGCCTGGTGGAGAAGTAAGAGCAGCTATTGCTGATCAGAATAATATTGATTCCATCAATAAGAAGAGAGGATTTTCTGAGACTGTTGATCTGAAACTCAACCTTCAATCCAATGATTCTTCTGGCTTAGATCTGAAGAAGGATAAAATGAAGAATCCTTCCAAGGAAACTTGTAACAAGGACTCAGCCAAACCACCGGCAAAGTAAACTCCTGTTTTTCTTCCTTTTACACTTTCAGTACATATAAGTCGCGGATAAAATTGTCTATGTGTGACTTACCGGTCATGGGTTCGAGCCGTGAAATCAGTCACTAATGCTTGCATCGTGATAGGTTGCCTATCACACCCTTCCCTTGGGGTACGGCCCTTCCCGGACCCTGGGTAAACACGGAATGTTTTATGTACCGGGCTACCTTTTTACACTGTCAGCACATAAAAGTTGACGTAATTCTTCAATTTATGAAATTGCAGGGCGCAAGTGGTGGGTTGGCCACCAGTGAGATCTTTTAGGAAGAACATAATGGCACAAAAAGGCAGCAGCATTTGTGAAGAAAGTGAGAATTCGAAGGGAGGAAGCAGCAGTGCAGCATTTGTGAAGGTCTCAATGGATGGCGCACCTTACCTTCGAAAGGTAGACTTGAAGATGTACAAAAGCTACCAACAACTCTCTGATGCTTTGGCCAAGATGTTCAGCTCCTTTACCATGGGTAACTCCCTCCATTTTCTATATTTTCAACAAATTAGTGGAGTATATAATTTAACATGTCGTAGCAAGTAATTATTAATTAATTACATTTATTATTATGGAATGTTATCTGAAGTTATCTTTTAGGTGCTAGGGTAGAAAGCCTTTTACCACACAGAATTAAATTGAACTCGATCTCCTTCAAGAATTATTAACTGAGGAAACTGGAGTTCTTTTCCACCAGACATGGTCGGATTTACCTTAATTAAGAAATCAAACTTTCTTATAGAATGGATGGAGGGATTAATATGATATGTCTTTCTTCAGAACATCCCATTTAAAGATCTAATGGTGAAAATCTTTAATAACTAAAATCATAATTAATGCATGTAAAGTTTTTCAAGAAAATGTCATATTTGAGGACAAGTAACAAAGAAATTAATGTAGCAAATACCTTCTCTCTTGATATCCACTAAGGTAATAAGTTTATTATGCATTTTTAGAAGAGAATCTTGAAAATATTAAAGGAAAAAAGTTAGATCTTAGTATATCATTGATCATATGGGTGCATAGAGTACAGCCTAGCTTTTTAATACAAATATAGTGCATCGGTTATAGTGTGCGATGTTTTTTAAAATTGCACTAGTAAATAATTATGGGATGCATATTGATGCAACAGGTAATTATGGGGCCCAAGGAATGATAGATTTTATGAATGAGAGGAAACTGATGGATCTCCTCAACAGTTCTGACTATGTACCTACCTATGAAGATAAGGATGGGGACTGGATGCTCGTGGGAGATGTACCTTGGCAGTAATTTCTTTTTTCCATTTTTCTCCTTAATTATAATCCAATTATATATAAACATATTCAAATGGGAAATTAATCATATGCTTTTATTCAGGATGTTTGTTGATTCATGCAAGCGTTTACGCATAATGAAAGGATCTGAAGCTATTGGACTTGGTATGGGTTTTCCTTTCATTTCTTTCTAAGTTACAACAAAATTACTATCTACTAATTATATTATCTGTTTTTTAAGTTTTTTGTAAAAACAAAAATTATAATATTAGTGTTATAACAGCATTTGTTTAAACTACTCCTATCTTTTATCTCTCGTTAAATATCTTATACTTGATACTCCACGACCACTAGTTGGAACAACAAGGGTAAGGATTAAAAAAATATTGTTATAAATGACGTCTTTTTTAAAACGTTAAATAGTTTTAGACAGATTAAATTTACCAAAATGACTAATATTTGAGATCAGATTCCTAATTATTATTTTTTGAACTTCAGCACCAAGAGCCATGGAGAAATGCAAGAGCAGGAGCTGAAAATGTTGATGAAGCAGTTTAGTTGAGGAGGAAGTTGTGGTTTCCATGTGTCTGTATTTTTATTTGATGGTATATGTAGATAATTCAAGAAATGATCTTTGGAAATTTGTTGTGGAAAAGAAGCAGCAATAAACAGAAAACCCTAATGTCTGGTTTGTTTATTACTAATGGGGCTTTAATAATTGTCCCTCAATTTCTTTCTCCTCTTTGGGTGGTTACGTTGTTCTTGTCCTCGCTGTTATATATAGTGATTGAGTGTTTTATTCCTTCATTTAAATGACATTTTTCCAGTAACCGGATTTTCCGCATCATGTATCTTAATTATTTTAATTTATTCATCCATTATATTTATGTATAATCAATGCTTATTTTATCTTATTATTATTATTATGAAGTCTACATTTTGAGGAAACAAGGCCATGTGCCCGTTGATGGGAGTTCCCCCTCCCGGCCAATTATTTAATGTGATGTTTATTTAGTGAATTTCCCTTGAAATTAAATATTATTAATCTGACTCCAGGTACATGTAATAGATGGACTCCACGGCTTTTAATGAATTTGAATTTTGTAATGTGTGGACTGTGGAGGATGATTAGGAGCACATGCAACTAGCAACTCTATAATACTCTCTTCCGGTCCAAATATTAATTACAATGTTAGTTATCTTGGCAAACTGAATATTTGATGTTAACAAGTTGCTACAATTATTGTGGTGTTAATTATGTGATATGAGCAATTAAGAAAAGCAATAACGGGTAATTCAGACAAACTAAGACTATACACAGAAATAATATGCACCGAAGAGCGAAGATTGTTGTAAGTGATTTAATATTCATGGGATCACTACACTGTCAATAATTAACTACGTAGTATGTATTAATGGCAACGTCAATGGTTCATAAAACTTACGATTTCAAGAAGTACTTGACCAAGAAATGAGCAATGAATGCATGCTGCTGGTCAGTTGAATTTGAACTCTCTATTTCAATACATATAGAAGAGCTGCTTCAAGAATTTAATGCATTGTTCCCTCTCCTCCCTTCACCACCCACCCAGAGGCGGATGTAGCTTACTAGCTACGGGTTCAACTGAACCCATAACTTTCGACGCGAAGTAAAAATTGTATGTAAAAATTCATTAAAATTACAAAAATAATAGATATGAACCCATAACTTTAAAAATATAATGGGTTCAATGTTAAAAATCTTAAAATTGAACTCATAAGATTTAAATCCTGGATCCGCCTCTGCACCCACCCTTCTTCATTATTCATTCATCCCCTTGTAGCAAAAATATGTATCTTTTCTTCGATCAGACATTGTATTGGGATTTAGGAAGGTCAAGGACTGTATGTCTGGTGACAAATACAATACAAATATTAAATACTAGTTTCCTCATGACAAGTTGGCAAAATTAATTAATGAGTAATAAAAGTGAACCAACCTAGAATCTCCTTTTAACTGCTATTCTCTTTGCATACGTATGAAAATTCCTTGTTACCAGGGGAAAGAGTTGCTCAAGGGTTTGGCACATGCAGCCATCGATTGTTAGAAACATCCGAGAAAGCCTCTATATTCCACCTACACTCTCCCACCCCACCAACTTCTCTCTTCACTGTGTTTTAATTTATGTCTATAATCAAAATGTTTCTATAGATAAGAGAGCCGGAGCAGCAGGAGTGGCTAAAGCAGTGCAAAACTGCTTTATTTGCAATACAGAGGAATTTACCTTCCTAGAGTAGATAGAAAACTAGTTGGCACTGATCACTAAAGATTATGCTTTTCCAACGGCTGCTTAGCAGACGGTGTAGCGTCGAAATAAAATGACAAGACCTATACAAGTTCTTCCCATTCTCTTTGTTTTTCTTTTTCTTTTCAACCCCTCATCACATTCTCTTGAAGAAACTCTGGCAATTTTATTAATTCGGATAGCTGCACAAGCATTAAATTAGCTGTCTATCCACCTTTTATGAGAGAGAGAGAGAGAGAGAGTCACATACCATTGACATTCCATTCGTGTCAAAGACGATCATTTTTACTAGTACGAGTCAAGCTCATTAGACACCTTCCCAACATGGCACATGCCATTGACACCAAAATATGTTACAATTTCAATTTGCTTGTGGAAAATTGTTCTATAAGCTCAGCATATTCCAAAAAGAAACTAATAATTCAGAGCACATCCTTCTCGGCATATATTTTGAACTCCAGAACCTTCAAGGCACCATTTAATTCCAGAACCTAAATTATAGGGTAATCATCCTTCCAGCTAAGCACAGAACAACTCTCACATGTAAAGATTTAGGCCAACTCCAACATGTCCCAGGATGCACAAGCTCAACCACAATAACACAAGTTATTCACGAAGAGATCAAGAAAGTGCAAAGGTTCTCACAAAACTATAATTCATTTTAACTGTTAAGAAATCAAGAAAAGACTTGAGTGTGCTGGGAAATCAGGAGAGAACTTGAACATATGGCTTGTGAGTTGTGAGCATCACTCATCAAGCCCTCCCCTCAATTGAGCATTTGAAAAGAACAAGTCTAAGACACCAATGTCATAACAAACAACTAAAAATAGATATTTATCGGCTGACCACTGCCATTTCAAACTCAACTCTTTCATAATATGTGGCCTTCATCAAAATTCTAGTAAAATAAGGCATCAAATAACCTGACATCCCATATTACTTCAGAGGAATGAACCTTGATGAGTGAGTAGCACCAATACCGGGTCTCCCGTGCTTGACAGGCTTGTATGAGATTGAGAACTCAGCCAGATAGTGACCAATCATCTCAGGCTTGACCTCAATCTGATTGAACGTCTTTCCATTGTAGATTCCAATGACACTTCCAATCATCTCAGGAACAATAATCATGTTCCTCAGATGAGTCTTGACAGGCTCTGGCTTCTCCCCTGGTGGCGCCTCACGTTTCTGCATTAAAATGCTCAAATGAAAAAGGTAGCACACCAAACAAAGATTAAACAATACCATACTATATATGCATATGGAACTCATACAACATTGAAGACTAAAGAAACATAAAGAAAGTAATACAATAAACAACAAGGAAACTTTTATGACAACTACAACACGAGGAGAAAGAAAATATAGTGTGTTCACTCACTTAAACAGCAACTTGGAGAAACAATGTAGACATCAAATTCTCCAGAAACCAACTAAAGCAGGAAAAATACACGGGGGTGACTTGAACCACACATAAAACCACCCTGGACTACCAGCCAGAGCTTAGTTTCAGGACAAGCAACAGCCTAAGGTGATTCTTCTTCTACCCTATGATGTAATTCATCATAGGGTAAAACTCAATGAGTAGAGTGAGCCCAAAGGAGCATCTTATTAAAGGTTCTCTGGATCAAATTTAAATATCAAAGGTTAACAATAGTAATTTCATGTTTTCAACTAAAAACAGATGATGAAATCAATTTTTTGATTTTTTCCTCAACAGAGCTTTTCTCATGAAAAAATGGGACAACTTGTTTTCTCAATCCTACCTTAGTCTATGCAAGCTAATCACTATGTACGTTAGGGGTGGCAAATGGGCGGGTTGAGATGAATTTGGGCAGGTCAAAGTGAGTTGAGTAACTAAATGGGTCACTGCCCAACCCTACCAAAAGTTTATTTGGGCTAGAATGGGCTGGGTCAAGATGGGCTAACCCGCTCATCTTCACCCACCTAAATCCATCTTTTATGTGATTTATTCCGAGCTTTACATTTCTGATACACATATATATTAGACGAAATGTGGTTAGTAACCATGCGGCTCATAAATACATTTCTTATACCAATCCTTTTAGAATAATAAAAAAAGAACTTCATTTCTCTCATTTTGTGAGACAAATATTTAGAAAGTGATTATAATATATTTTACATAAATTATAAATTTGTAAAAAGTGTGTGTATATATATACATACATACATATATATACCAACACACTACTAAAATTATTTGCTTAGTTGGCGTTTTGGACTTACAGTTTGTTTTAAAATAAATACTACTAACCTTTAAAATGAGTTCTTAAAACATTACTCAAAAGCACATTGTCTAAATTAAAAAAAGCACAGTTTGTTTTATATTGTCAAAAAAAGCACATTTTTACTCATAATTACCTCAATTTATCATTGTTTAGTACTATTGGTCCATGAAGACTGGGGTATTTTTCACATTCATAAACAATTTGTAATTAATGAAAATTAGTAAACTTTGTTTTGCTAACGGAGATCCCAGTCAAGAAACCCATCAAATAGATTACTAATTTATTTCAACCTAATTAATGTTCAGTGAGAAGAAAAATAAAATACTATTATTGAAGCGTTATTTCTTAGGTGTTGAAGAAGAAAGAATTGATATTAAAGTATAGCTCACAAATTAAGAGATTAGAGGAGTAACTCTTTCACTAAAAAAGAAATAACTCATAGGCAATTGTGAGGCAGCAAAGGAAAGATAGGACAAAGGGGGGACGACTTTGTGGTGGAGCTACACGGGTTACATTTGGGCTATCTGACGGGTTAGTTTGGGCTATTGCATAGTGATGGGTCAACTTGGGCACAACCCAAATAGACCCAGGAGTAAAATAGCTCTTTGCCCAGCCCATTAAACTTTAGGCGGGTAAGGCGGGTTAGTTGGGCTTGGGCTTATTTTGATAGCCCTAATGTACGTCAAGGACAGATTAGGATCCAGACCACAAGAACCAAGTAAAACTCTGTTCTATGCTTAAAGCAACTTTTTACTCATATGCTTCAAGCATTCTTTGAGTCCTGTGTTGGGGGTTTACACTAAAGACGATTGACCATTGCAGCCAAATACAGTAAACGATCTTTCCAAAGTTCTTCTGCCCATACAGCTAACATTGAGAAGGCTATACAGCAACTACTCAAGCAGTAACATATACCCAGACGTCATATAAAAATTGGTCAAATGGACAAACTAAGAAAATAAATGCTGTGAAGGGAACAAGCAGCTGAAAAAGGAGTAATAGTTCATAATGCCTACCGCCTTGCGCAGCTTCTTGATCAAGGCCATTGGCTTCCTCTTCAAACCTCTCTGGAACCTACAACAAATAGGACCCGCTTATTATTAAGGGCCACAAACAAACCTAATGAAGCTATCAATAGAATTGTACTCCGTCATCCTAATTCGCTTGGCATTTGTTCGACTAAACAGAGTTTAATAAGGGGAAAAAATTCCGCGCATAAACTAAAAATTTATAAAGTACTACGTATAAGACCCTTGTATCATCCAATCGGACATAAAATCAAGTGAATGTTCAAATTAATAAGTTAGTCTCGGTGCTTAACCAAAAAAAGGGAACAATGAGCAACAAATTGGGATATATAAATTACCTTCTGCGAGGACGAGCATTAAAGAGCTTAACAAGCTCGTCAGTGGACATGTCAAGTAAAGCATCGAGATCGACGCCTCTGTAACTAAACTTCTTGAACGTCCTCTTCTTTGGCTGTCCTGCCGTCACATCGGCTTCAACATCCGCCTATAAAACAAACAACTGTAAGTACATGCAAAAATCATCTGCTGGGTAAGTATGAATGCTTTGCAATGACGATGATACGAAGAAAGTTACCATGGTTGTGGAGATGGAATTGGCAACCTAGCAACGAAACAGCTCGAGCACAGTACGGGCTAGGGTTTTCCGGAATACATATCACAAGAGGCTGAGATGTTGGGGCTAAATGGGCCTTTTGATGGATCTGCTGGGTAAGTGAGTATAATCGTTCTTAGGCCGGCCCAATGTTACGGTCCACTGGATTTTTACATAAATAGCTGGTCTAACTTCATCTTTACTTTTTTTAACCAATATACATACATTATGTATTTATTATAAATAATTATATAAATATCACACATTGAATAATATATATTATATATCCACTAGCTATCTTTAGTTTAGGTGTTGGGTGGGTAGGATTTAGGTTAATTCTTCTTAAAAGGGTTAGGAAATCCTACAAATTTCACCGGGTGTCCCTTTTGATGCTATTTTAATTTATTTTTTTTAAAATCAATGACGTCTGGATCAGCTTGTGTACCTTGATTAATTCTACCGAGTGAGGTCCAGTTTTAATATTTTTAAAGCTTTAATATATACTTTGCTTTGTAATGACGCTTTTAATATGTAAAATGATTTATGTTTACCCTCAAATGCGGATAACAATTGAATTTATAAGTGGTTTTAAGGATACGCGGAATAATTTGATATAGAGCAATAAATTGAGTAGAATCGAAGAAACAAAGATAAATTAAATTCAAACCACACGAGTAAGATAGTTCGAGTCTTAGTGAAATAGTCACCCTCGAGTCGGGCTCACCACGGCCGGTACCAATGAAAAGGAGCAAGAGCTAGTGACAGAGAAAATAATAATATATTACTTTTGAGTGCGTGTTACAATGTGTTTCATGAATTATCAGACCCCCTTTATATAGTAGGGGAGTCCTACTTTATGTACAACTCTATAAAAGTTAAAAAATCTTTCTATTTACTGATTGACGGTTTCCTATCGATACGTGCCGAGATCCCCGCCGTGATATCCCGTCGGTCACGGATATTTCAGCCTTCTATTGGCTATGCTTGATTGTCCGACAATGTTCTTCGAAATCGTTCGAGGCTAGGACCGATTCCGAAACCATGATCTTGACATTCTCGAGGGCAGGCGTCATGCCCCCAGATTCTGGCTCGGTGGGACTTTTGACTCGATTTCGGTCCCTTGCCACTATGACTCAAGTCTGGCATATCTTTTCAGAGGCCGGGATGCACCATGAGCTTGATTTCGCCCATATACAGATAGTCCCCTCGTTTCTCGGAGAGTAAACGACGAGAAACGACCCGAGCTTCCGATTCTTACTTCGATACATCGTGACATAAATGACAAAACATCCTAAACGTCTTTCAGTCAAGTCATAATGGCATTAAATGCATGTCAGCCGCCGATCGGCCGTCCCTGAATGCGAAACGTCGCTAAGCTACTATAAATACCCCCTCATTTGTTCATTTTTACTTTACATCAAACCTTCTACCCCCGTACCCTCCGAATTTCAATACTCTTTAGCATTTTTACCCCGGTTACTCGAGGTCCTTTGCAAGAATTTTTAACCATCTTCTTCTCAAGCCAAAAATTCTAATCTTTCAACTTCCTTTCTTTCTTCATCTTTCCTAGATTTTCCTCTATTTTTACTTTCTAAAGGAATGGCAAAGACTTCAAAAATCGTTCCCCAGAAAGAAGCTTCTTCTACTTCGTGGCCGGCTACTGAGGTCAAGGGGACCGCTCCAAGCGTGGCCGTTGATGAACCAGTACCCGAACCCCCTTTGAAAATGTTCATCCCCGGGGGATGCTCGGTCAACGATGATTTCAAAGTTGAAAAGCCTTCCTCCGTACATGGTCGGTGTGAGGAGGTCTCGAGATACATCTGCTCGATTACCGAAGAGGTCCTCCCTACGGTCCGAAAAGACTATCTTGGGCCGATAAAGACATAGTGGTCCCCAACCCCAAAGAGGCCATTACCACCTATGTCTAGGGATATCTAAGTGTTTACACTTATCCCTTTACATTGGGCCCGGTAGACCCCGTCATTTTAGATTTTTGCAAGAGGTACAACTTATGCCTAGGACAGATTCATCCATCACTCTAGAGGATTACGATCCTCCTCCGATTTTTTGTGAACAAAATCGATGGGTGCTTGTTCACCATTGACCATCTACTCCGCTTATACAGTCCCCGAATCTTCCGGGGGGGCTGATAAAGCTCGTGCGTCGGGCCAGTAAAGCCCTGTTCTCAAGTATTGATGAAGACCGAGATTGAGGCTGGCAAGGTCATTTTGTTCGAGTGAGGACTTCGAACTTGATTCCGATAAAATGCAGGCCATTTACCGAGAAGTGGAATACGTCATGTAAGTAGAACTTTCCTTCAAAGTTTGATTTTATGTTTACTTCTCTTTTTCTTATCGGTATTTGTGGTGGTGCAGCTATCGCTCGGGTCCCAAATGATGTCCCTCGACTCAAGGAGTGGGTCGAGGGTATCGTTTCACATATGCCCTACTCCAAGCACTCGTGGCGCAAATTATCGAATAGTCGTTGGGAGGCTCGTTCTCATGGTGAGACTTCTTTCTCGAGTAGGTTGTGTTAGGCTTCTTTTTTTAACATTAAGTCCTTATTTCCTTTACTTCTTTTTGCATGCTTGCCTAAGGATGTCAAGCTTAGGCCTCCAATCAGTGGTGAGGACTTGGTGAGGACTTGCCTGTAGAGTCTCCTGCTCTAGGATAGGCCGGAGAGAGGAAAAGGAGGAGGGTTCTGAGTTCCCTGAGCTCGGAGAGAAAGAAAACAAGGAGAAGGCTGGTGCGCAAGCCAAAGGAAAACACCAGCTCCCCAGCACTAGCTTCGGTCTTGCTCTATCGGCTGAGGGATGAGTCCAAGGGAGAAGAGCCTTTCGTTTTTGTAGCCTGCAAGTCGTCACCCCTCGGAGACCAGGGGGCCGTTGAACCAGAGATCCGCGAGGCCGATCTTCCTCAAGCCAGAGAGGTCGATGGGGAGGCAAGGGCTGAGGCTTCCTAGGATGCGGGCAGTGCCCCGAAAGAGCCACTTGCCATGATAGACATCACCGAGTCACCCTTATTTACCAAGTCCATATATAACAAGGTCCAAACCATGAAAGAACTCCCCAACGAGGGGGCCCACGGAGCGGACGACCCCCTTCGCTACTTTTTTATGGAGTGGATTCCACTGCCATGGAGGACGTCACCAGGTTAGGTAACTTAGAGATACCGAGGAAAAGTCCATCCTAAGGGGCAGGTGGGTCTAACTCGATCCTGAGACTGGTCAACCGGTTCCCTGTCCCGAGGGCGGATCCTGGTCGGAAGTGGTTAATTATCATCATTGTTCTGGAGGATACCCGGGTTCTTTCTGTCCCTGTAGCCATAGGGATAGCTAGTTACCTCCGGTGCCTGGTCACAGAGGAAGAATAGATCAAAATGAACGAGGTAGATTCGCCATGCCTGTTCAACGGAGCACAACAGGCACTGAACCGGGTAACTCTCGATAATCCCTGATGATTCCTATTTTTCTTCTGATATTTGAACTAATTTTTTGATAACTCTAATATCTTTCCCCGTGTTTGCAGGCCTCGGTGCTCCATCACGATACCTTAGTACCGAGATGAGTTGATCCAACTCGAGGTAGAAGCCAAAGAGCTTGCTGAGAAGAGAGACACATACAAACGTCTCTGCGAGCAACGCGAAAGAGAGGCTAAGGGCCTTCGAACTGAGTTGGACGCAGCTAGGAAAGAACACGCCGACCAGGTAAAAATCTTTGAGGTTATTGACGATGAGCTAGACACAGTGACTAATGGTCAGAACCCACAGGTCAAACAGAAGATTGATCGGATCGACGAACTCCGGGCTGAGATGGATGCAATCAAGGTCGAGGCCGAAGAGTGGAAAGGCAAGATGGACCGCTTGGCCTTGGAAAAGTAGACTGCCCGGGAACAATTGGTCTCGGTGGAGGCCCAACTTCGAGCGACGAGGGAAAAGGCTGAGGCACGATCCCAAAAAATTAAGGAGCTTCAGTCTCAGTTGAGCTCGGCTGTTGCCGATCGAGAGACCCTCGCCAAGGAGCTTAAAGCGGCCAAGTCAGTGGCTGAAATAACCAAGGCCGATGTCGATGAAATGGTGGCCCAGTACAGAGCCGATGCCGAGGCAGCCCAGGACCGCCTGAAAGACGTAGTCCAATATGTGAAGTGGCAGTCCCGAAAGGAGGCCCTCGAGGAGGTTCATGCTCGAGGTTTTGAATTATCTGCTGAGATTGAAAGTATTAAGGGGCTCGAGGCCGAGGCCAAGAAGTTGGCGTATCCCGAGGACGAAGGAGACTCTGAGGGTTAGGGCGGATCCGATGATGAGGCGGGCTTCGGTAATGAGGTGGGCTCCAACAAAGACTAGGTTGTTTAAGTGCCTTGTAGACTTTTCTTTGTTTTTGCACCTTTGTACTTTTATCGAGGCCGTTTG